GTTGCTATGTCTCCTAGGCAGTGTAAGGTGGCCTGTTATTGTAGGTGTCTTATAGGGTCCAGTGTCACAGCCTCCCAATCACCTCATCTGGGCTTTCAAGGTGCACCCCTAGTGTGAACTGTATACCCTTCTGTTGTAATTGAGTCTTGATTGCTGTTGGCACATCAATGGCACTCAGGCTGATAAGCTACAAGGACTGACTGTGCCCACTGACCACTGGCCCCTGACTACCTTGGAGGATCAGTTGTATGGAGCCCACCACACAAAGCAAGACTTACTTCAGCAGGGTTCATTGAGTGTGTCACTTGTGGAGTTGGTTGGGTGGTGGTGTTTTGATGTCATCTGAAGCTGTCCACTGGGTGTGCTAGCTCTGGGTTAAGGTCAGTCACTGCCTGTGTTCTATCCAGGGCCACCTGGCATAAGCTACAAAGTGATCTGCCAATGGCTGCTTCTTGTACTGGGCTTGGAGGTGTCCAGGAAAAGCCAAGTTGTGAGCCAAGATTGGCTGCATCTAGTGCTGGGCCTCGGGCCACTTAACAAGAGATATGGGGTTTGCTGAGACCAGATGCTGCTTGTTTGAGAGATGTTAGGAAAATCTGAAGCAGGAACCAAGACAGGCCAATCCTATGGTAAAGCCTTTGGAAACAGCTTCAGTGGGCCCAAAATTTGGGTGGGGCAGGGCCTCAGGTAATCACTAGGGTGGGGCAAACAGTGTGAGCTGGTTGCTGGAGTCCCAGATATGGTGACCCTCTGCCTACCCCATGGGGAAGGGGCTCACCAAGGGAACAACAGCCTCCACCAGCACATCTGTCTGGGAGAAAGTTGCCTCTCTGGCCTTGGCCCCATGCCAAGCTACTCAGTTCTACCCTATATGTCTCTGGTGCCTTTAAACTGCCTCCCTCCAAGCTTAGAGGGAGCAAGTCTGAGTAAGTCCATGCGTGTGCCCTTTAAGAGGAGCTGCCAGGGGCACCAGCAGCCTCAGGGAAGTTTTAGGTCATTATTTCTTCAAATAAGTTTTCAATCCCTTGCTCTCTTTCTTCTTTTTCTGGTACCCCTATGATGCAGATGATGTTATGTTTCATATTGTCCCAGAGGTTTTTTAAACTATCCCCATTTTTTAATGCTTTTTTTCTCGTTGCTGCTCTGATGGGGTATTTTTTTCTACTTTGTCTTTCAAAGCTCTGATCCAGTCCATTGCTTCATCCAACCTGTTGTGTATTCCTTCCAATATATTCTTTATTTCAGATATTGCATTCTTCATTTCTAACTTGTCCTTTTTATGGTTTCTGTGTTCTTTTTCATGCTGTTGAACATCCTTATAATCATTACTTTGAACTCTATAGCTGATAAATTGCTTGCCTCCATTTCGTTTAGCTCTTCTTCTGGAGAATTATTTTCTTATTTTCATGATATATTTAAACAGTGGCATTTTAGAATTCTTGTGGAGAACTCAGGAATATATTCATAATAGGTACATAAAGGCAACTCAAGAAATTAACTAGGATAATAACAACTGCAAGAAGAAAACAAAAATATATTTACAGGAAAGAAAAAGTCATGGTACATCACATTGCTTTACTAGAAACAATAGTTACAGGGTCATAATAAAGCAAACACTAAACTAACTAAAAATTGTTGGTATAAAGAGAAGAAGGGAAGAGAGTATGTAAGTAGGATGCCAAAAATTCAAAAATCAATAAATATAAGTATAAAATAATCCTTGGAAATTAGGATTCTTAACAATAGAAGCAACAGCTGTAAGAATTGAAGGCAGTACCTCTAAGGAACAAAAATTAGAAGTAAGGTGGAGAAAAGGATTACTGTTTTTCATCCTGATCTTTTTTATCTCTGACTTCTTAAATTATATACCCTGAAAATAATCAGTACCATGTTAATTACACCTTTGGATGGTCAGCTAAAATTAAAATTTTTAGAAGGGGTCAAATGTGCCATAGCTGTAATACTCCAGGCAATATAAACTACTCCCTAAAACTTAATTATACTGACATTATTGTTATAATTATAGATTAAATTTTAAATTTGTTTGGCTGCCTAGAGCACTAACGTCCCCTGATAAATGGTAAATTTGGCTTTCATTTTGCTCCATGTTGACTTGTCCTTTGGAGACTATATGCTGTGTAAATTAAGTCTCTCTGTGGCACAATTTTTTTTTTCTTTTTTTTTTTTTTTTTTGCCAACCACTATGTGATTTCGGCTTGAAATATAGGAGCATCAACTACTTGATCTTATGGTTTTGGTTTGGAGGTTCAGCTACTAGAAGAGAGAAAGCAAAGAACAGGACAAAGTTATTAGAGTATAAGAGTAATAGAGTTACACTTCCCACTTCCACTCTGACTGTCAATATCAGCCCTGAGATAGATACCACTTTCTTTTTCTGTACCTTCCATTTCCAAGACATGTTTAGGAAAAGAGCAATGAAAGGAATAAGAGCCTCGCTATTGAGATTAATTTGATAGAAAAAGAGCAAGATGCCAGGTACATTGTTAAGAAAATCTTCAATTTTCTAAAAGTGGCCTCTCTGTCCCCAATTCTTTGTAACATTGGCAGGTGATGTCTTGGTCCCATTTTTTGTTGTATTGTTGTCAATTTTTTTTACTGGTATCTAATAATGCACATGCCTGCTAGGTACTTCTAGTTCTACGGGAGTCTTGCTTTCAAAGTATCAGAGTTCATGTATATATGGTGTTTTGTATGAAAATTGTTTAGTTAAAGCAGCCATCTATGCCATCACAGCATTGAAAGTTTTCTGGGCCTCACTACAGAAGAAACTACAATAATATATCTATGTGTTTTTCCAGATTACTCTAGACCACTCTATAAATTGTGTTTGTACAATATTTGCAAAAACTAACATTGATACAACAATAATTGCTTTATTCTCTATAAGATGCCAAGATGCTTAGCATAAGTTTTCACAGATTTGTAGGATAAATCAATATAAGCCATGTGAGCAGGGCTCTAGGCAAGGAATCCTGCTTCAATTATTTAAACTTTCCTTAATAATATTAAAAAACCCTCAGGTCCTACTATATATTTTTTTTAGTTTTTAATATCACTTCTTGAACATTTTCTGAAGTATAATGTGCATACAGAAAAGAGCACATATCCTAAGAGAATTGAACATTTCTGTGTGTGTAACCAGCACCCAGAAACAGAATATGACCTTTCTGTACCCTTTCTCAATCACTGTTCCCCAAGGGTAACCACTGGGCTGCCTTTTGAAAATGTATTTCCCCTGAGGGGTTTTTTGTTGTTGTTCTTTATGGAAATGAAATCACACAGTATATACTCTTCTGTGTCTTGTTTCTCTCACTCACTATTATTCATGTAAAGTTCATCCATATTCTTGAGTGTAGTTATAGTGTACTCTTACTGTGCACTATTCCATTATATTAATATTCACAAAGTATCTATTTATTCTACTGTTGATAGGTGTTTGAGCGTTTCCAGCTTTGGTTTATGGCATTATAGCACATGTATTTTAATGATCGGGTATAAACATATTTGTTGAGTATATATGTAAGAGAGTGTAGCGATGTCATAGGGTCTGTATGTGTTCAGCTTTAATAGATAACTGCCAGACAGTTTTCCAAAGTAGTTGTGTTGAATTTTAACTTTTTGTTCAGCATACATTTGTTCAATGATATTCTCAGGAAAAGGAACATTATTAGATCACTGTTTTCTTCACTGTAGGTTTCACAATCGTGAATGATGGTTATATAGTAGGAATATGACCTGTTTAAATGAATTTGCTGCACAAAATAGAATGCTTTGATTTTGTTCCTTGGGATTTGGGACGAAACACTTGGTCATTAGAAATGTTTTCAGACTTATTACAAAGGAAATTTGCCAAAATCTATGTGGAAAGTAAATTCAGGCAATCGATTGTTCAGAGGGAAGCTTTTCCAACAGTCATCAAGCAGTCAGCAAAGGACAGTGGAAGGATTCTAAAATCGATCTGAGATAGTGTCAACCCTACCAACCAGTGTAAACCTCTTATTTTATCTGAGCCTTTTTTTTCTCATCTATAAAACAGGGGGTCTTCATTCACACTCTGCGAGGATTACATGGAAATATTTCACATTATATATATCAGGTATAATGATATGAAGTAGATAGAGCTTATGTTTTACATCAAGGAGCTGCAAACATATTCTTAGACCATGACATTAGATCCTCAAGTGCTTTCCAGTTATATTCCTAGAGAATTCATTTTCCTCTATCTTGTTAGCCCTGCTTTCTGTTATCAATGTCTTCCTTTTTAGCATTAGAAGTGTTGCATAGTTCAATTTCATGGAATTTCACTAAATTATTAACATACCCTGGTGGTCATTAGTTTACTAGTTGCATCGTGGGTTTTCAGTAGTCATTTATCTCCATCTTATCAAGTAGTGATTAAAGGGGTGTAGTTGGGCCCTGGCCAATGTGGCTCAGTTGGTTGGGCATTGTCCCATGCACTGAAGGAATGCCAGTTCGGTTCCCGGTCAAGGCACATGCCCAAGTTGAGGACTCAATCCCTAGTTAGGGGCATGCAGAAGGCAGCCAATCACATCACTGTTTTTTTCTCCCTCTCCCTCTCCCTTCCTCTCTCTCTAAAATCAATGAAGAAAGAAATTTAAAAAAAAAAAAAAAGATGTGTCATTGGGTCCTGGAATGCATGTTCATGCTCAGGCAGTTTACCTCAGATAATGTCATAGCTTTTCATAACCAATTCAAAAATTGCTTCATGTTAACTTCGTAGTATTTTTGTTCTTTGGTGTGAGTTGTTTTGCAAAGCAGTCCTACTGATGTGGCTGAACATGTTTAATAGCCCGCTAAAAATGTCAAAGTTGTCGCCACTCTTCGGGTATTTATCAGAACTAAGTATGACAAGGAAAAGATTCTCAATGTGTATTAACTTGATAAAAGCCCTTTATTTCATTCTATCTTCTTCTTTCTTTTCTTTTTCTTTTTTATGTCCCCATATCTATCACATGCAGTGTGTTTGGCGTAGCTATGCAGCTGATGAGAAATCTGTTTCCATTGCAACCTGGAAGCCGCACTTGAAGGCCCTGCACACCTGCAGCCCTACCAAGTAGGTATCAGTGTGACAGCTGGCGCTGTAGTTGAGTCTCTGCAAATTTGAAAAACAAGCCACCCACACACACACGGTGTCAATTTGGGGCTAGTCTTACTCTCTGCTTCTCTTTGAGGGATTCAAACCTGTTTAGCAGCAACTCAAGCACAAAACTCAAGGGACTCAGTATCATTCCTCACCATCTGTAGGTGGGCTTAAAGATCAAAGGAATTTAAACTTTTATAGAGATTTATTTCCACTATTTTACGTTTATTTTCTAATATATCATAAAACCCATCAGAATTCTAAAGATAAGCACCACTATTTTTGAAAATATTCCATCCATCATATGACCCCAAGTGGAGAGTGCTTTGAGAGCAACATATCTTTGCACACTGAAGCTCCTCAAAGTCATTTCTCATCCAGATCCCCTTACAGGATGGTCCTCAAGCTTTCTTCACTTGCAGATCAAATAAATATTAGTAGCAAAATAAGGGAAGAGTTGCCGTCCTAATCAGATTACAGTTTACAAAGAAGCAATGGAAACAAACAGATTAAAATTGAAATTAGCATTCAGAATTTGAAAATATCATTACTTACATTCACATTCCATTGACCAAAGCAAATCACCTGGCCATGCCTAAACTCAAAGAGCACAGGGAAGTAGGATGCTACCAGGTACCTGGAAAGAGAGGAGAACCAAAAAATTATGAGCAGTCCCGATGGTTACCACAATGAACTTTAATTTTTTAAAAAATTCTTATTCTTGGAATCCTGGACTCCAGTTCAACTAGCAGAGCACATATTAGATCAAAATCACCATCTAATTGAAGAACCCTTCATTGAAACAGCCAAAGTATATAAGTCAAGGTGTAAGCTTTCTGTGAGTCACCCAGCTTGATTACAATAGTCAGCTCCTTGGATTGTTCAAATGTCATTAAACTGCTTATCTGATTAAGTATTGTTGTTAGCACCAGCCATTTCCCTTGAAAGCCCAACAAAACCTTAACCTAGTGGCTTCATAGGATTCAAGGCACCTAACTGCTCGACTCAGAGAAACTTCTTTCTTACTGATGTGGGAGAGAAATCAGCCAGGGAAGCCTTCATGATGTGTTCCCTGGAATTGCCATCTCAAAGGAGGTTTGTGATGCCACAGAATGCACACTGTGGAGGGCAGCAGATGCATCATTAACTGACGGGATCTGCTGCATTGCTTCCCTGTTCTGCCCTGGGCTTCAGTCCACAAAGTGTAGGACAACAGCTGGGCAAGATAACTTCTAAGCTCTAATGGGACATGTCTCCTAAAAATTGGTATCAGAATGTTGTTAGCACTAGTGACAGAGAGAGTCACAGAATGCCAGGATTTTAAAGGGGATGAGACCTTAGCAAGGACAGAAGCATGGATGCTGTTGAGTGAATGTGTGGATAAGAACCCTCTTTTCATTTAGACCTTACAATTTAGTTAAATTCCCCTTTTTTGGACTCTTTCAAAGTTATAGTATGAAAAAAGAAGGAATATAACTCTTGTGCTATCTATTTCTTAGGGGTATGAATCAAAACTGGGAATTACAGAAAAATTGTGTTTCTTTTCCTTGTGAAGGTTTCCAGGTAAATGTATGAGAGGAAGGCTAGCAGAGAAATAAAAGAAGGTTCTCCCGTAACTGAAGAGAGGGATCTGTCACCATACATGATTGTTTGGCTTCCCTCTCCCTCAGTTTTTGGAATAAAACTCGTTCTGAAGCCTGGATAAACTATTTCATAATGAGTCAGATTCTTCCAGTGCATAAACTATTATTTTACTTCTCTCTTCTCCTGTGATATTTTCCCTGTTTTAAGTGGGGGCAGGGGTGGGGGGGAATTTATGCAAACACCTGCTTTCTTCCTGTTCCACTTCAGCTATCAACCATCCCCCTCCCCCCTTTCCCTGCACCCCTGGAGACTCCACCGCATTTATTGAATAACAGAGATTTGTCCAGATGACACAGCAGTCACCAGCAAAGCTCACGGGATCCCGGATGTCCTAACAACATTCCCACCAGCCATGCTTCATTGCTCTAAACAATAGTGGTTCTTAATTTTTGTTGTTGTTTTCCTTTGCTAAACCGCTGAGAATGTGATGGCAATTATGGAATTTTTCCCAAGAAAAATCTTTACTGCATAAAAAATTAAAACTTTGCCTACAATTCTAATGTAGTCATAAACTCCCTGAAGCCAACTTCAGAACCTTTGTTTTAGAAAGCAAACTTGCTTTAATGAAGTGTGTAGGTTTGTGAGGAAAATGGTTTGCAGTGACTTAGCGGGATATTTTTACATCTATGAAACTGAGTGGCTTATGAGCACAAAGTGATATTTAGTAAGAAAAAGACTAAAACTTCTTTCTATTTACATAGTGTATTTCCCTCTAACAGTCAGGGCTTAAAGCTTCCTGAGGGAGAGATCATTTCTTCATGCATGCATTCATTCAACAAGGATTCACTGAGCCCTGCTATGTGCAAGGCACTGTTCCAGGAACTAGCAATGCAGCAGTAGAACAAAAAAGCAGGTTGGAATCTCAGGGCTTGGGGAGTATATATTCAAGAGATGCTGGGAAGAGACAATAAAGATAAATAAGGAAAAAAATTAATAGATTAGAGGGTGATGAGTGCTAAAGAGAAAAGTAAAATAGGGAAGAAATTTAGAAAGCATTGGGGACTGCAGTTTTTTGTTTTGTTTTATATAGTGGGAGGGAGAGAGGAGGGAAGAGAGAGTGAGAAACATCAATGTGAGAGAGACACATCAACTGGTTGCCACCCACACAAACCCAACCGGGGCCGGGGACAGACTGCAACCGAGGTACATGCCCTTAGCGGGAACCGAACCAGGGACTCTCTGGCCCACAGGCCGATGCTCTAACTGCTGAGCCAAGCCAGCCAGGGTGAGGCTGCAGTTTTAAATAGGTGGTCAGCAAAGAGATTATATTACCAATAGTATCATCATCCTTACTATCATCATCATCCTCATCATCAAAAAACACCAAGTGTGCTCTTGTTCCCCACAGCGTTTGAGGTGCAGTGGGATACTTTTGACTCTATGACCTCATCCCAGGGAATAAGAGAGGAGAGGCATGAGAACTTTGTGGGAGAGACAGGGGCGGGGTGAGGGGCATACCATACACACTCTAACCTGCCAAGGATACACCTGGCAGTTTTTTATTCTCCTCTGTTACATTTCCTTTGAGGTCTCTGCAGTTGCTATTTCAAATTTTTGTTTTAATAACAAAAGGATTTACAGAGGAAGCTTTTTTTTTTTTCCTTGTCAAAGGGAATGAAGGCTATGCAAAGGGTGAAACACAGGCAAACGTATTATTTTAGGGAATGGGTCAGATATCTTATGCAGCTTTAGGGACTTATCAAGTGCTAAGGATGCCCAGTGGTATCCTAAGAAGTCAGAATTTAGCTATTATCTAATCCAATGCCTTCAATTTATTCATAAGAAAATCAAGACCCTCAAGAAAGTGAGGTGTTGCCCAAGGACACAGATCATTTGCACCAAGTCGCACAGACCTGAATTTGTTAAAATGGGTCATTAAAAACACCACCAAGAGAACACATGCTTTATACAACAGGTAAACAATATCTGCCTCAACAAATAACTGAGGTACAAGTCACACATTAATTAATCCAGATCAGGAACCTAAAGCAGAGGGACTACATACAATCAGTGTGACCAGCACCATTCTAAGAGTTTCTGTTAATGCTGGTTAGATCAGAACGGCTTTTCCTTAACCATGGGTAACTCTGGCTATTGAAGCATCCATAGTTGTTAGTTACATGTAGGTAGTATTGTTTTTGCTAAGTAGATGTTATGCTATCTCTGGTCTGTGCCACAAAGAACATATGTTAAAAGTTGGGTACGTTTATTATTTTTTAAAAATTGCTTCCATGCATCTTGTTTGAAAAGAATTACTTAAGGTACCTGTGTCCCCGATCTCCAATTTGGCCATTATCAAGTGCTATAAATGTATTCACCAGTTTATCATCATTTCTCTTCTGTCTGCACGCACCTGAAGGAAAGAACAAGGGGAAACATCAAGCAGGTTTGTGATCTCTTCTGCTACGTTTGTTTATATATCTGTGCCTAACAGATGTTTTAAATGTGTCTCGTGAGTAAAATCGATCAACAAATAATGATTAAAAGTGACCTTTCGCAAGATTGCCTGCAGAGGTTGCTGTTTTATTGACCCCCCTCCCCCACACCACACACACACACACACACACACACACACATACACGCCCCGCTTCTCAGGAGCATAAGTGCCTTTCCCTAACTCACCCACCGCCTTTTACAATCTGCAGGTCATGGAACATTCTGGGGAGGAAATGATCATTATAGTCTTGGGTTATTCCTTGTTACCCTTTCCCCAGACAGAAGTCTCACCCAATTGTTTAAATCCAGAGAAGCACTATAAGATATACTCCCTTCATCAGGGTCCTTCTTTTAGAGTGAGAAATTGTTTTGGTTTTGGTTTTGGTTTTGGTTTTGGTTTTGGTTTTGGTTTTGGTTTTGGTTTTGGTTTTGGTTTTGGTTTTGGTTTTGGTTTTGGTTTTGGTTTGGCAAAAAGAGCACTGTGAACAGGAGGTGAGAACAGTCCTCTGTGACATCTCCCGCTCACGGAGTGCTGAGGTTTACGTAGGTGACCTGATTCAAAAGAAGAGCCAGCCCATACCTCCATTCTTTGGGAAAAAGAGAATTCTCCCCAAAACTTCACCAAATAATGTAGGGTCATTCGTGCTTTAGAAGAGAATGCTCTATCAGAGTAAACAGCAGAGATTTAGATCTAGAGGGAGGAGGAAGTGAGCAACATCAGTGTGAGTACCAGTAAGTGTCTGAGGATCTGGGTTTGGGAGCAGAGCCCTGCAGGACAGAGCCAGGTGATGGTGTGAGAAGTAGCAGAGGCAGACCCAGCAGGAGAATCCCAGGTGCCTGGAAGGGAAGAAGGGACACAAGCCTTTTTCCTATTATTGCCACTTGCTTCAGTAATGAGGCAACAAAGGTATCCCCTGCCCGGCTAGTCCCCGGGTGGGGTTTAATGTGGGTCCAGGGATTGTACTTTAACTTTGTTAAACTAACAGCATTAACCATCATTAACCATAACATATTTATACAGTACTGAAACCAGTGTTGAAAGTTCCCTTGGAGTGATGAGGCTCTGGTCCCATTTCTACATTACATTAACAACAAAGAAGTTCACAAAACAAACCATAAATGTGTTCCCTTATGATGGGTCACAGGTGTGTGGGATAGGTATGCCAGACAGGGGGCGCCATTAAAGACCCTTCTCTTATTTGGTAGTAATAGAGTTAGAGTAGACTCCACCATCCTTCAGTTGTGACAATGTTACTTGAAAAAATTACACAAAATAAGTCATAGCCATTATCAACTGTTTGACGGTCTTTGGTGATATTTGAAAAGCTTTTCTTATCTCAGAATATTTTAAAATCATAAAAAAAATAGAAGATTAAATAAATGAAAACAAAAAATTGGAGATATATAAATATACAGTAAAAAAATAATACTAAAAATAAAATAAAATCAGAGTGATTTGTCTTCAAATGCTAAGGTCAGAGATCATTTTTGGCACAAACCTGATAGCCACCTGAGAGTAAGGTCACCTGTCTTGGTTTCAGGCTCCAAAACAGAGCTGTTGACACCTAAAGGGAAAGTTTGTAAAGCATGTGGAGGGTCTTACTAAAATGCAACCTGTATGGCAGTCCAGGGTGAGGGGTCACCTTGGGTTGACGCAATGACATTGCACTTTCGAATATCAACAGAACACAATGGCAGGATTCAAAGGAAACTAGGGCCCTTGAGCCCCTCAGTCCAAAATGAAACTCCTAGTCAGCTGCCAGGGTTGAAAATATTCACCAATCAAGTTTTGTAAATTTCATGATGCTCACCTATACCTGAAACATTAAAATGTATTCTGCATACTTCTGACTGAGGTTGTCAAAGGTAACTCACCTGAGGATTTGAATATCTACAGAAAAACTGAGCTAAGCTATTCACTTAGAGAATCACACACAGGGAGTTCTTGCTTCTCTGTGGTCATTGCTCATTTGGCAAAAACCACCTTGAAACACTCCATGAGTGTATTACTATTTAGCATGCATGCCTTACTTAGTGCTTCAGACATGCAGGTCTTCTATCCCCCAAATATATCTCACATCACTCTGTAAAGCTCTGGCAGAGAATGTGCTCAGTAAATAATTCTTGGATAGTGTAATAAAATGTCTCTGATCTCAAGTAATTTACGTAAAAAGAGATAAAGCATCCAAAAAATGAGGGATAGGAGAAATATAAAAGGAAAAAATGAAAAACATTTCAATAATCTGAAGGAAATAAGCTGAAGCTCCCATTTTAGCATGACCTTAACTTTCACCTTGTTGTGTTCCATAGGCAATGAAATTTCTAACATTGCATAATAAATGCAGAGAGACTATTGTAATAACAACAGCAAAAGTACCATCTTAGGAAATAACAAATTGGCCCTTACTCAACCAAAATATGCACATAGGAAAATGCATTTATAATGAGAATTCTCCCATAGCAGAGAGCAGATCTGGGTCCAGAATATTGTTGATTAATGTTCGACCCAATTTTAATTGGAATGATAAACACCGCCCAAGTGTAGAGCACTGGACAGATTGGGGCCATTGGGTTATTGAAGGTCATTCAGATAAGCAAAATAGATACCCTTTAGCCAACTCACCAGGTATCCCAGAGCCTATGATCCCCTAAATCCTCCCTCCTGGTGTTTTGTTGTGTTAAGAACTGGGAGTAACCCAAATGTAGATGAGTTCAATACAGTAGCCAATACCCCTCTCCCTGGTGCCTGGACTCTCTCCCTCCCAAGGAGAAGGCCACATTTGTAGACAAGGTTATACACAGAGTGGTTTTTCTCTCTACAAAGTAGATTGAGGGTCACACTCTTAGTTAACTAGGTTCCCTGCTCTGGAATATTTTCATTAAAGAGATTTTTCTCTTTCCACACTGAGGTTAGGGTATGTTTAAACAAAATTCATCTACAATGTCTTAGGCCGCTAAAAAAGACATCCAGTTCTGACATGGCTTAACATGGTTTGTGACAGATCGAACATTTTCTTTAAAAATACAGTCTCAAGAAGAGCTCAGCTGAAAAACAGTGAAAATCATGTTTCTTTGACTCTCTTTGGTAGAAGGTCAAGTACGAGCTAGTGTTACTCTCAACTGAGCCCCATCTGTTCTTCCTCTACTGAGACCATAGATGCAACTTCTTTAACATTGTTTACTCTTTGTTTTCCTCAGTCTTCCCACTTAAATAGTTCTCCTTTCATATGTGATGGCGAATGTGTTTATTAATTTTATTCTGATTAATCATTCTATTAAGTAATTTTTCCAATTCACTTTTTAAAGACAGTTTTTCTTTGTTTTGGTATAAATTGTCACTTTCAGAGAATAGAATTGGCCTGTAAACCCACCAAGCCAGATTAAGCCAGGATTCTCACCTGAGGTGTTTATGTCCTCATTCCTTCCTCCTTGACGAGGAGGTCAGTTAGCCAAGTAGTTTTTGAATTAGTCATCACACTGGTACAAGGCTTTTACTTCTTCCTTCCTGTTAAGTTTCTATTGCTACAAGAATAGATCACGCCATCAGAGGTCCAGGGAGTTCAGGGCTTATCTATACATCAGATTGCCTCTGCTCACCCTGCCTCCTTATCAACCATTGTTGAATGTATGCTTCGCAGTTAAACTGTGCTGCTCATAGTTTATAAGGAATTAACAGAACCCTGTCAGGCTTCTTAGTAGACGATCTAAAGTTGCTTTGACAGGTACTTGTGAGACTGTTATAAAGACGCATGTCTTAAAAGTTAAAGCATAAGTGAAATTCTTTTATTACATTGCAATCTTGTGCTGCAGTCTGCTTAGTGCTCTGTCCGAATTGCTCCTCCATGGTTGTCTTCATTAGGTTTTGCGGGCATGTGAGGCGCTCAGGAGAGAGCTCTAGAACACTGACGGAAAAGACTATCTTCTGACATTCCTTCTGGATTTATTTTCCATTATTTAAATTTCTTTTTTTCTGTCTGCAATAAATGATTGGCATGTGTTGTAAAATGCAGTAAGACTAAGCTTTTTTTTTTTTTTTTCCCAGCATAGTCACCTTGTGCCCTTATTAACAGTGTTAGATTGTTTCCTTTTTTTTTTTTTTTTCAAAATGTTCTCTTCACAATTATTGATAGAGGGAAAGAAAACACATCATAAGACTTAATTTCTAACGAACTAGAAACCTAGAATCTTTTCTTCCGTCATTTTGAACATGTATCCTATCTGACAATTGGTTACCTATATCAGCTATTACTACAGGAGTTTCATACAAATCCAGAACTTATTTTTTTTTTTATTTCAAAGCAAGCAATGTTATCCACTTCCTATAAATACTCAATTTTTAAAGTTGTGAAATATTTTGTTCCTCAATCATTTGTACTATGTTGCATTGCTATTAATTACAAGGGTTGCTGTATTCTAAAAATATGTATATTCTTATTTTTATATGAATCAGATGCTAACACATAGATTACCATCATTTGTAATGCCTGTTTCAAATCTAATTATTTCTTCCTAATCATTAAGAGCACTAGGTGTATTTTGAGCAGCACAATTAAACTACATAGTTAGTACTTACTGCTTAAATACTCTGTATACTTACATCTGAAAAACAATATAACCAAATGACTTTGTTTTTCAAAATGGAAAATAAAATCCCTCAGCACTTTCCTGGTGGTGAAATGCTTAGTAATGTGCTACTCTATCTCCCTCGCTCCTAGTAAGTTCTGTAGTAATAAGCAGAAGCTCTTCAGAATGTACACCACACGGAACCAGAGGTACCCAGCATCCCAGCTATTGACATGAGACTTGAGAATGCCAACTAACCTCAGGTGCATGACCAGGTTACAGTGCCACCCTACTTGAGCCCTGTCCAGAGACTCACTCTTCCTAAGGACTCCTCGAATGAGGTTTTCAACCCGCTTGTAATTTTCCTTGTTGCCTGTTGCCTGCTTT